GACAGGGTGTAGCTCAGGGCCTTGCTAAGTTGCTGAGGCTGGCTTTGAACTTGCAATCCTTCTGTGTCAGCCTCCTGAGCCACTGGGATTTAAAGGCATGTGTTGCTACACCTGGCTTGTCTTTCATTTAGCTTCCTTAAGGCCACTCTCTTAAGGGTTCTAAGGTTTCTATGAAAACACTACTTTCCATTTCCCTTCTTCTGTCAATATTTTCAAYGTTCTTTCCATAGCCTCTTCTTCATGCTTTACCCTATCTCCTTAGAACTTGTCATTCAAGACCATGGCTCTAAATGCAAGCTGACTCCCAAAACCTCAACTCAGATCTGTCCCCTGACATTTGGATTCATATATCCAATTGCCTCCTAGACTTTTGGATTAGTCCCAGAGCTGTGTTCAATTAATTATGTCCAAAACTGACCTTACTTTCCCTCCCTGGCCTTTTCTTCATCCTTTACCTCCTATAATATTCCCAGAGAATATTAAGTAAGTCACAAGGTTGCCAAAGTCAGAAACTTGGCTATGACCTTATGTTCTCAGATGTAAATTAATTGAGTCTTTTTAGTGGTACATCTTAAATGTCTTCTGAACCCATCTTCTTACCATTCCTATTACTACTGACTTGACAATGAYTTTATGTTTACTTTTTAGAACAAGGGTTAGCCAATTATGACTTGGGGGTTAAATTCAACCTCTGCTTGTTTCTATAGGGCCTGTGGGCTARAATAGTTTTCACATTTTTTAAATGACATTAAAAAATGTTTTTTAAAAACAATATTTTATAACAAGTAAAAATTATGTGACATTCAAATTTCAATGTCTATAAGTAAAGTATTATTGAAACATAGCCACATTTATTTGTTTACATATTATCTGTGATTCTTTTGGACTACAGTAGCAGAATCCGGTATTTTAGTGGATACTATACAACCTGCAAAGCCTAAAATATTTAAGAAAAAGTCTACCACTTTGTTTTATAGTCAACTCTATTAAAAATAAATCTGCATTTTTATTTTACCTTCAGAGCTGACCAGAATTGCCTTTCTTGGAACTTGGAATGCGGTGATGTTTCATTTTCTACAGCACTAATTTGAGACAACAGAAAGAAAAAGGAGAAAATGCAAATTACTCTTTCAGAATCAGAGTTTTAAAAAACGTTTATTTTAAACAAGCATTCTAAGCCTTAATTGAATACAAATGGAAGTTCTCTACATGGAGGTGACCTGATATCTATCAAAAATTACAAACACATCTACACTCTGACCCACCAATCCCATTTTTGAGAATGTCTCTTGTATATACGTTTTCAAATATACAGAATGGTATGTCTGCTAGTTTATTTGCAATATCCACTGTTAGTAAGTTCAGCACTTTGATGTCTATCAGTTTCAGTATATCTACATGATGCCCTGCTATATGCAGCTTCAAAAAAATATAGGAAAATTCTCATGATAACATGAAATGATCTCAAAGATATACTACATGAGGGCTGGGGTTGTGGCTCGGCAATAGAGTGCTCATCTAGCACGTGCGAGGCCCTGGTTTCAATCCTCAGCACCACATTAAAAATAAACAGATAAAATAAAGGTATTGTGTCCAATTACAACTAAAAAATAAATATTTTAAAAAAGGGTACTACATGAAATAAAATTCAAACTGGATGCAACACTTTATAATATACTTTGCTGTAGAACAAAGGGAAAGGTAAGGTAATGGCATATATATAAAAGTATTTACTTTTATTTGTATGAAGAAAATAAAAATAATTGATTACTGCATGCAGGTATGTGGATAAAGGAAGAAGGGCAAAATCTGAGTCTATGGAGGGCAGGATGGAAGTAAATTTTTTCATTTTAAGTGTAAATTAAAAATTAACAAATAGGGCTGGGGATGTGGCTCAAGCGGTAGCGCGCTC